CCGCCGCCGCCGCCCCACCATGGATGTGCTGCTGCCGCTCAACGCCAGCGCGGGGCCCCCCGACGCCTCCGCCTCCGCCTCGCCGTCCGCCTCGCAGCTGCGCCCGGTGCCGGCCCCCTACTCGCCCGCCGCCGTGGCCGCGCTGGCCGCCGTGGTGGGCTTCCTCATCGTCTTCACCGTGGTGGGCAACGTGCTGGTGGTGATCGCCGTGCTGACCAGCCGGGCGCTGCGGGCCCCCCAGAACCTCTTCCTGGTGTCCCTGGCCAGCGCCGACATCCTGGTGGCCACCTTGGTGATGCCCTTCTCCTTGGCCAACGAGCTCATGGACTACTGGTACTTCGGCAAGGCGTGGTGCAACATCTACCTGGCACTGGACGTGCTGTTCTGCACCTCCTCCATCGTGCACCTCTGCGCCATCAGCCTGGACCGGTACTGGTCCGTCACCCAGGCCGTGGAGTACAACCTCAAGCGGACGCCCCGCCGGATCAAGGGCATCATCGTCACCGTGTGGCTCATCTCGGCCGTCATCTCCTTCCCCCCGTTGATCTCCATGTATCGGGACCCCGACGGGGACATCTTCCCCCAGTGCAAGCTCAACGACGAGACCTGGTACATCCTCTCCTCGTGCATCGGCTCCTTCTTCGCGCCCTGTCTCATCATGGTGCTGGTCTACGTCCGCATCTATCGTGTGGCCAAGCTGAGGACCAGGACCCTCTCGGAGAAGCGCACGATGCCCGAGGGCTCCTCCCAGACTGAGAACGGGCTGAGCCGGGCCACCGGGGGCTGCACCTCTCTGAGGATGCAGCCCGGAGAGAACGGCCATTACTCGGTGCACCAGTGGCGCAAGGCCTCCGAGCTGGAGGACATCGAGCTGGAGGAGAGCAGCACCTCGGAGAGCAGGAGGAGACGGAGCCGGGAAGAGCACCCCCGTAAGAGCAGCAAGAGCCAGTCCTTCTCCTACTCCTACTCCTCCAAGCACTCCAGCCGCCTGTCCCGCACCAGCAGTCGCTCCGTGGACTTCTTCTCCTCCCACCGCCGCAGGAAGCGCAGCAGCATCTGCCGCAAGAAGGTCACTCAGGCCCGGGAGAAACGCTTCACTTTTGTGCTGGCAGTGGTCATGGGGGTCTTTGTGGTGTGCTGGTTCCCCTTCTTCTTCAGTTATAGCCTCTACGGCATTTGTCGAGAGGCATGTGAGGTCCCTGGGACACTCTTCAAATTCTTCTTCTGGATTGGGTACTGCAATAGCTCCCTCAACCCGGTCATCTACACCATCTTCAACCAGGACTTCCGCAGGTCCTTCAAACACATCCTTTTCAAAAAGAAGAAGAAAAACTTCAGGCATTAGGTTGGGGTGATGCAGATGGAGGAGAGGTCTGCGCTGAGCCAGAGCAGGGAGGGGAACAGGTTTGCCCCGAGACAGAGTAGAGTGAAAGGGGGAAGGGGCCTGCATTGAGCAGGCATGGCATGGAGATGAAGGATCTGCCCTGTGTTAGAGTGAACCAAAGAAGGGGGTTGGGAAGGCTTTGCACTGGGCAGACTGGAAAAGGGGAAGGGATGTGCAGTCTGAGCTGGAGTTATGGAGAAGGGGTCTGCCGTAAGCTGGTGGGGATGGTGACAGAGGAGTCTGCAGTCAGTTTGAGCAGAGGGCTTTGTACAGGCTAGAGAGCAGTGGGGAGGGGGATCTGCACTATGCTGGACCAAAGCAGAGAGGAGAGGAGGAGGAGGAGGCTACACTAGATGAGCTGGAGTGAAGTGAGAGGTCTGGGCCAGGCTGGAGTGAAGAGGAAGGGAGGGCCTGAGCACTGGAGCAGGGATGGGACGTGAAAAATAAAAAGGAAGCAGTGTTGGGGGTGCAGTGTGTGTGCACTGACCCTGAAGTGGAAAGAAGTGCAGTTAGTTGTTGCTGCAGTGAGGAAGGGGAGTGAGGAGAAGCTGTACTGACCCTGGAGGAACAGGGAAGGGTCAGGGTGGGGCATTGTGTTTGGGGGAGGATGACCTGTCAGGGGTTGTGAAGTTTGCTGGAGGTCAAAAGAGGGGACTAGATGCTGGAGTTCGGCACTGGGAGATTTGGGTATTTATTTGCAATGAGAGCACCTGGGACATGTGGCGTGCTCCTTCCAAGAGGCAAACAGATTTTACTGGTGAGATGTGAGGAGAGGCATGAAGAAGATGCCAGCAAACAGGCACTGACCATCTTTGATAGCTGAGAGGATTTGCGTGTTTGCCAAAAAAAAAAAAAAAATCCTTGAGAACAATCCAAACTCTTTTCTAAATAAACCTTTGTTATTCTAAACCCTTCTCAATGGTGATTTTACGCAGGGCTTAAGGGAAAGCAGGGGCTTAGGGGCTTCCTTTCCCTCACAGTCCTTCTTGTGTATAGAGCTGAGCAGGAAATGGTTTTCTTGTCTTCCAGTTTTCCCCATCAGGATGAACCTAGACCTTTGGAAGTTTTTCACAAAAAAGGAAGAGCACACCACCCTCTACAGGATAATGTAGTGGTGAGAACATTTGCTTCTGTTGTGGGGAAACCAGGCTCAAAGTCCTGGCACATTCCCACCAAAAGTTTCAGTTCCAGTGAATCAACATTTTTCAACCAAATTACTATTAAACAAATCCCCTGCCAGCTCTACTTGCATGTGCCCTTGGGATTTTCTTTTCCCCTCTCTCTCAGTACCTGACAGAGGGGCTTTTCTCAGGGGCTGGTTTGGGTGTTGGTCTCAGGGTGCTTCCAATTCCCACGTGCAGTTGGATGCACACTGACATGCAGATGTTCAAAGGAACAGGGATCGCCACATCACAGGGGTCTTTAAATCCCTCAGCGTTACAGTCTTAGGGCAATTAAGTCTTTTGCATTTATTTTTAAAGAGAAACCTACACAGCCGATTTTCACTGATAGAGGTGAATATGATAAAAGTAGATCTGCTCCAATTCTTTCTTTCTTTCTTTTTGGTATGTGTACTTCTGGATTAATATTTAATATTCTTTTTTTAAGGAATGATTAAAACAATTTCCCCCCAGTGGATTTACAAAATCTAATAACTACTTGATGGGCAGGATGAAAGACTGTGTGGCCTCTGTGCATTCATCAATAGACAAAAAAATTCCAATTGCATGTAAAGCTCAGCCAAACCTTTGCAGAATCAAACAGTCCTGTCCTCCCCCTCTCCCCCCTACCTCACTGCGCGCTGCAAAGTGTGCTTGTCTGTGGGGGGGAAATGCTGTTCCATCTTATTATGCATATCGCCCCCTCCATAGGCAGTAGGCATCTGCCTCACGAACCTTTCCATAGTAAACAACTCTTTGAAATGGGATGAAAACTAATCTAATATTGCAGGCATCTTGAAGCAGCCAAATTGAATCTATAGCTTTGAATCAGCAGATACCTATTTTTTTTATGTTCTCTGTTCTATAAAGAAGGTGCCCAGAGACCTTCCTTACTTGATATCTCTATGGCACTAGTACAAGTAATAACCTCTGAAATTGTTTCATCTACTTTTGATAATTCTCCACTCATTTAAACCCACCCTCACCAGTGAATCAAGCAGGTCTTTAGTAGTTAAAGTTTTAGTGTTGATTAAATAAACAATTTACTTTCAGGGTCAACTCAAATGGGAGCTGTGAAAAGAAAGAACTAGACTACTTCATGTAACCCATTATGAATGTGAGCATTTTTTTTAAATGGATATTTTTAAATTCACACTCCTTAACTGCCTTGATATTTTTTTTTTTGTTTTGATGAAAGAAGGATTCAAATTATGAACAGGTTTGGAGGTTCACACTATTTAAAGAAGAGACATTAAGGCTCATTCTTAAGCTGTATAAACCACTGGTAGTTTGGTGTGAGTAACCCTCTTGGTTCAATGCACACCCAAATATTAGAAAATAATACAAATAGGTGAGGTGAGAAAAATTCAAATAGTTTTCTGCAAAATGGAGAATTGGTTTTAAAATGATATATAAGGAAGTGAGATATGAGCTCTGGTGGTTTGTATGAGAGTGTAGTGAAGCTAAATAAATTGTTTTTTTAATCTGAACAAACTATAATTTCCAGAGCAACCAAAAGAAAACATAGTACACAGGCTACCTCGGAGATATTAGACAGCTTCATTTAAAGTGATCCTTTTTCACCAACATAAAAGTCTGTATTTGATGTTTTGTGCTCAGCTTGGAATGGTTTCCTAGTACATGAATGCACATTTCACTATTGCTTTTTAAATCAGATTAGTTTGCAGTAAATACAGTCCTTTCCCTTTATTTTTCTTTATGAAACTGGCAGTCTGAAAATGAAGAGGTTATTAATTGTTACGTTTTAGTGTTGGTAATGTTTGTATGGAAGAGCTGACATGTGCCTTAAAAGTAATTTCTTTGCCTTAAAATTGTTCTGTAATGATATAAACATGCAAGAAACAGTAGCTTTATTCTTTCTTTTTTACTTTTTCCTAATGGACCAAGAAAGGATCCATGTAGGTACTAAACATCCGATTTGTATAGCACTGTACTTGAAAACAGGCTATTTCGCTGTGATTTTATTTTACCTCTATTCACAATTACTTAGCTGATTGCATGCTTCACAGGAGTATTAATTCTTTTCCTCTGAATTAGATATAGACAAATACTCACCCTGACTGGTTTAAAGATGCACAGCAAAAATCCACTTGTCAGTATATTTTCCTCTAAATTAATGGAGGCAGGTAATTTCTATAAAAATACTTTTGAATGTAATGTGTTTCAAATAATTAAATTAGGGCCAATTAATTTTTAAGAACAGGATTCTATTATTGTTTGTTATAATGTTGAAGACTGGAGTAAGCCTGTTTATAACATATTGTGTGTCGTTAATACGTCATAAAAAGTTTATGGCTTTACAATTCACTTTGTGGTTTGCTTCCACTGTAAATTAGCTAAAGGTGTACACAGAAAAAAGTCAAGGTAGCCTGACTTCATAAAGAAGAAAGGAAAAGGGCTTTTTAAGCTTCATTTTTGTCCAAATGTATCTTTGATCAATTCTTGTGAGCTGGTTAAGATATTCATACTCAGTTACTCCAAACGAATGAAATATTACCATAAAACCTAATTGATCTGAACAACAAGCATCTAATCTGTAACTTTATACTTGCTCATTTTCACTGGGCAGAAAAGTCCTTTCTAGTGTATGATGAGCAGTGAATAAGATGCTTTTAAGAAGCAGATTCCTAAACCACACAGTAATTGCAGAAAAGTGAAATATCACCACAGCTATCAAGCTAGACAAACCTAGCTGGAACTAGTCTTGCACTCCTTAGTCAGAAAAATTTTCACTCACTTCATGGCAGAGAGTGGAGAGCACTGCCTGAGTAAGAACTTCAGAATCAGCTTCCAGTTTGTAGGCACATCTACACATGTGCTTTAATGCACCTTAGCTATTTTAATGCACATTAAAGCATCACAACAAGTGTTTTTTCTGCTAATACACATTAAAATAGGCTAATGTACCTTTTTCTGGTATTTCACAATGGAGGTACTAAATTTAATGTGCATTAGCAAAAGTCCATTAATGAATGTGTCCATTAATGTATGTGGGTCAAGCAGTATTATGCTCTTAGATGATGTAAAATAAGAGTGGGTCCCTTTGTGCATGTGGGTGATTTCCATTGGGGATTTGATCCAAAACTTAAGTATTAGATTAAAAATTAAAATGAAGACCAACCTCCAGTAATCTTATTCCCACTGATTTAACATCTCATTTTGTTAATAACCCCCTTGACTTTACTTGTGGAATTTCTTGTGGTTGATGGAGCTACTCAGTATGTGTAAGGCTGTAAGAACCTGGCTTTAGGTTCCTTTTTTTTCAATAGATACAACTGAAATATATAAACAGTACCTTATGAATAGTTGCTCATGCAATTAATTCCTCAAATATTTCACTCAGTAGCAGCTGTTCAGCCCTTCCACAAAGCAGGGAAATGATGTAAAAAAGATATATTGCTTAAGCTGAGTAACAAACTCCACTGTACTTTATTCAGTAAGCTGTATGAAGAATATCATTTGATTATCTCCGTTTCAGGGAAGTAGGATGCTGTTTATCCCTGCTTTATGGCACTTGGTATTGCATATAAATGGACTCATCTATCACCTCCACCATGAAGTACTAAATAAATGCATATTACGTTGTGCTAATGATGCTTAATGTGCAGTAGCTTATTAGCACGGTCTTTTACATGCTGCTTTAATGTGCAGTAAAATAAACTACTGCACATTAAAGCAAACATGTAGAGATGCCCACAGTGCCCTGTATAGAGGGCACTTTTGTTCCATTTGTAGGTTGCTTTTGGTAAAGTCAGACATGCTGCTGGCATGCATGCCAGAAGCATGTATTAAGACCACCTATGTTATTTTGAGTTTTCTCTCTCTTAAACTGTGGCTATGTATTAGTTCCATTAAAGGAGGAAAGTATATGCATAAGCTGTGCAAAGCAAGTGCTACACAGTGGGCACGTCTACACATGTCATTAACATGCAGCAATTATTAATGCAGCAATTATTAATGCAGCAACATGCAGCATTAATATACAGAGCTTATTATAAACTAGCCAGCAGGCAGCTTCTGCACTGAAGCATAGCTAGGTTGGTGTTTACAAGTCCTACGCTGCTGCGGAGTTTATTAGTTTTGTGCGCCCTAGTAGAGGTGCATGTATAGACACTGAGACGTTTACTTCAACTTCACAGTAAATGTCGCACGTAGACACAATCAGTATTTGTAATGCTCTCTAGGGCTGGAGTGTGACACCATTTGAAGTAGCAAATAGCTGAGTTGCTCCAAGAAGGAACCCTACTACGGGAAGTAAATTACTGAAGTCCTGTACAGATTGAAGCTCACTTCCTCCTCTTTGTACCAACTCACC